TACTCGCATCATGTCGATGCGGTAAAGTACTTCTTTGTTTCAGAGGATTAACATTTTTTGTCGAAAATGTGAATAATTTGATTCGCTCTATTAAGTGTATGTCAAAATACTGACATGTCAATGATCTTTGATGGATTTTTGTCCTAAACTACAGCTTCAAAAAAAAAAGTTATTATTTGAAGTGCAATAGAATGAATGCACGCTTCTGTTTCTGGTAACAATAAAACTGTTTTAAATTATAGTAAGTCTGGTAGCTTTTCAACATTGTAAATTGTATATATTATGATGAGCACCTGAAACTATTATCTGTGATTTCACCTTCCAATAAAGCTCAATTATCATTATTGTCAAATGAATAAATGATGTTTCTTTTTCTTAAGAAAAATGTTTCACTAACATTAGATATTATAAGAAAAATTGATCAAAATGCTTCAGCGCGGGATTAAAATATAAAAAAAAACATAGGCAACACYCGAAGAAAGCATACGTTAACTTACCGTCACTGAACGATGCATTTTCGCTGACAAAAAAAAATCCAGACAAGTTTCTGTAAGTTTGCCTGATTAATAAATATTATMCGACAAAAAATAAATAAACGAAAACAAAAGTTGATTAATATAAACGTCAACTCTAAACGAAAATAGAAATGACGTCATTTGGTTAGATCTGAGGAATTTCTTTTCTAAAAATAGATATGACGTGCGAGCCAGCTCTGAGTTTCTWAAGATAAGCATGACGTCATTTAAGTTTCTAAAACTAGTTATGACGTCATTGACACCGACTCCAAAAATAGATATGATGTCATGATGAAATTAGTGAMGTCACGCGGTCACTAACGTGACGTCATCAGGGTGGATCCACTATCCACCCGATCCACCCGACGTAGAACCGCTATTTCCTATACTACTCTTTGACTGATAAAATCAAACGTGGTAGACAAAATGTCGCTAAGTGATATCATGATATCTAATACGTTGACCTCTCAGGCCAAGAAAATAAATACTTTACAAAGTAAAAGATGCCTATGAAATCATTAAAGTCGCCTTTTTGTTATTGATAAACAAAGTTTCTTCTTGTTCTAATTTGAAATCTTTGCCCACATAAGACTGTCTAACGCTAGAAATGTCATTGATTCAGTTTCGTAAGCATACTACTCGAAGCTCCATGCGATCTGCACATGCGCGTAATTCTGATTCTGATTCTGATGCATTGCGATGAGATCACAGATACCACATTTGTAAACGAATAGTTTTTTATCACATAAAAGCGCAAGTAGCATACACCTACTTGCAGAAACGTTGTCATAGAAAATAGAACATTTGAATTTAGTAAAAAAGGAATAAATTAAAACAAGACAAAAGAAAGCGTTCAGCCTCAGTGATCTTCTTTTGTGTTTTTAATTTATTCCTTTTTACTAAAATACAAATGTCCTATTTTTTATGACAACGTTTTCGCAAGTAGGTGTATAACATTTACTAACGATATTCGTACATCTATACGTTTGAGCTTCCGGTCATGTAATAACAGCCAACCCAATAGTTAATTATTTAAAACTTCTCATTAACTTCCGGTGGTCCAAACGCGACAAAATACCACAGATAGATAGATATATAGATAGATAGATTGGCTAAAAGGTAAAACTCAAGTCGACCTAGCCTTCGTCTAGTCCGACTAATTAGGGACAATTACCTATACTATTTGAGTGCTGCAACATTTCCATCCATTTTTGCCCACAATGAGTAGGGCATAGATATCTTACTGTGTTAAATCTAGATATTGTGAAATCGCAATGGAAAAAGAGTTATGAATTTAATTTAAAATGAGATCTTGCATGTTTCAAAATTTAAAATACTCCAAGTTATGTAATGTCTTGTTTATCTTGTATGATTACGCTTTAGTCGGCTTTCAAGCTTTTTTCAACATCGATCGTTTCTTGTATTTTAATTTAAATGTAGTTTTRTAATGCTTTAGTTGTATTGCATTGTGTCTATTGTAGTTCTAATTTTTTTTAATAAGTTTCACCTAAAGTTTTTCACACCATGAATTTTAAAGTTGTTGTTTTGCATTTCCGACTACACCCATGTAGAGTTAAATATCAATAGCTTTCTTTTAGTCAATAACTATTCTTAGAAATTCAATGTCACTCAATGTCACAAAACATCGATTTTCATAGTCCTGTAAGTTTGTCATTTATAGTTACTGTTAGTGCAAGTTGAAAGTTTAGGAGGAGTCGACGGATTCCCGGGAGATATATTTGTTTATATTTGTGTATTTCCCATTCAGCAGCTGTAAATCACAACTGGTTGACAGCGAGAAATTCAGGGGGAAAGAGAACTCTCCAGGCAAGGAATACTTTCTAAGAATCTTTTTACAGGAAAATAAAAACTTCCTAAATAAAAACCATAAAAACGTTTGCCAGGAATAAAACTTCATTGAACATAAAAACTGTTTTAAAGAAGGAAAATCCCTTTCACAGGAATAAATTCGTACAACTTGAACATTTCAGGGTCCGTGCAGGTCCTTAAATCCTTGAAAAGTGCTTGAATTGAAAACTCGTTTTCAAGGGCACTTGAAACTCCTTGAAAATTTGAAAATTTCGAAAAAAGTCCTTGAAAACTCCTTGAAAAACATGGATCTCTATCACGAAGCTCTAGCGATCTCTGAATTTTTCCGTTTAACTGAAGTTTTGAGGTAAGAATGTATAATTAGCATGATTTTGATGCCCCTTGAAATTACAATTTTGGTCCTTGAAAAAGTCCTTGAAAAGTCCTTTTAAAATTTCGTTTTTGATAATCTGAACAGAGCCTGTCGGCTCCTCCTGAAAGTTAGGGTCTGAGTGGGTTTAACTGACTAGCGACAAATGGACAAAATAACTACTGACTAGCGACAAATTTGAACAAAATTTGCTGACTGGCGACATTTTCCAATATTTAAAGATGTTAGCTCCGTGAATACAAGCTTTTTTTATTTTTTAAGCAACTACATTCGAAATTTTCCGCGGAAAAAATAAATGTTGCTTCGGATTCGCTTCTTGAAGTTGTGATGAGCCACTCTAAAACTTTGAGGGGCATCCAATTGATCATTCAAGACTCAAGGATTCAATTGTTGGCATTTTAGAAAGAATTCTGTTGGTATAAAGCACCGTTTTAGATGCATCTAAACTTAATGTTTATCAACTTTTTTTAAATAACCGACTACCGACAAATGCCTAGTGATTTTAACTGACTAGCGACAAATGCTTGAAATTTTAACTGACTACCGACATTGAGTCCCCCACATTAAGACCCTGTTAGAGCTCAACGNTTATCAATTGCAAACGTTAGATACTGCAAAAAGGAGTTAACTGGCAAAATTTGAAAGGCGTACTTGATCTAGAGAGCGAGTAAACTCATTTTTAGTTCTCCATACATTTCTTTGTATTTTTCACGCGCGTCACGCACTGATGACCCCGGAAATGATAACGAAATGTATTGAAATTACAAAGAAATGTATGGAGAACTAAAAATGAGTTTACTCGCTCTCTAGATCAAGTACGCCTTTCAAATTTTGCCCGTTAACTCCTTTTTGAGGTAT